TAAAAGTTATCTTTTCAATTGAATGTGCACAAATAAAAGTTTGGAAAAAGATCTCTCTTCATATCCATTCTGTAACTTTTACTCCCCATTTTCTATTTTAACAAAAATTGTGTGCATAATTCTTTTTTTAAATCTATGCAAGATTAGATTTTGGCTAAAATGTGTTGGCTTCTTTCTGAAGTGTATTTTGTATATATATATGTATATATGCTATACGTGTATAGTATCTTTTCATGCTGTGTTACCAAATATAGAATTTTTCTCGCAAATTAGAAATAAAGACATGTATATACGCTCTAGGGAACAGGAATAGAACTTTATAAAGGCTAATGTTTTATGTTGCTAATTTAATATGATAGAAAATGTTAATTTTTAAAAGTTAAAGAATTGTAGTTCTGTAAAGAAACCTCACCCACTTGACAGACGTGAGAAAGAAGCTGTGATAGGTTGGACCTGTATGTCCCCTCGTTATTCTGGAAAGACTCAGCTCTATTTGTAGAGAAGTGATCAGAGTTCTGGAGTGATTGATCTTCGGTCGGTGTTCAAGGCTTAGAAGGAGTCTCATCAGAAGTGGATGATGGATGACTTTGTCCTGTTTTAACAAGAAGTGCCCACAAGCTGCCTCTGTGCCACAGCGTAATTAACATACAGTTCAGTTTGAGTATGAGAGCGTTTTCCAGGATACGTGTTTCCCTTGCTGTGTCTTATTTAATGGAGCTAAAGATGACTACTCAGTGTACGGGGTCGCTGCACTGCAGCTTAACGTTTATAATGAGTGTACATCAAAGAAGCCTTGTCCTCGCTCCCGCAGGAGCCCTACAGTGGCGCTACCGGGGCAGGCGGCTGCTGTGCTCTGCTCCTTGTGTTTAGGAGTTTGCTGTAAACCAGTGATCTCATCTAGAGGTGTAGCCTGTGTCAAGTCAGAGTAGCTTCACAGTAGAAACTTACTATAGACAGTATTCTAACCCAGTCTACATGAAAACAGGAATTACCAAAATGTGTTGAAAAGTAAAACCTTGCAACATTTGAACCTCTATATGTGGAATAGTTTCCTTTCATAGTATAAAATGTTGAAAATTAATTTAAGCACTGCACATACAGTACATACTATTTTGTTCTTTTTGTCTTCATTCTCAAAACCTTCCCTACCCTGCCTGCCCCTCAAAAGCAGGAAGCAAAGGCTAACTTTTATACATTTTGGTGAAAACTTTTAAGCGTCATTTTTAGACTTTTTTTTTTTTTAATACTTGTGTTTGTTTCATTTTTAAGATTATTAGGGGAACTAAACCCATAAATAACAGGATAAAACAGAGGCAGACTTAAAACTTTTGAGATTTTTCCATTTTGTTTTAATTGACAGTAAGAAGATAAATTCTTGTTTTGCAATGTTCACCAAAAAAAAAAAAGAATAGTGAAGCAGCATAGCCAAGGTGCAGATCCAGGTGATGTAATGTTTTCAGTATTCAGAAACCTTGAAACTGGTCAGTAGCTCATGAAAATACTTTTATCTGCGAGAGGAGAAAAGACAGCCTGCCTGGGGCTAAATTCAGTCACTGCATGAACGGCCCAGACGGTATCCATGGGGTAATCAATCCTCTAACAGAACAAAGCTGGGAAGATAGGGGTATGTTTGATGTCTTCTGCTGGCTTTCCACAAGTACTGTAAATTTTTTTTATAAATAAAACTGTGAATATCTACCTAAATATTATAAACATTCTCCCCTTTTCATTTTTGTAAATCATTAAGCTTCATTTGATGTGGGGAGGGGATGTATACTGGGTAAAAAACTAGATTGAAGATAAAATTGTTACACGTGCAGGATTTGAAAAAATGTGTAAGAGAATGTTGAAGATGAGTGAAGCTGAAGTCATTAGGAATAAACCAGTTAGGTTTACTTATTTATTTACCCACTTACAATGAAGTCAAACCAAAAAATTAAAGAATCTTGGAATAGCATTGTCAAATATCTGAAAATCTGTGTGATGCTTTTCAAAAAAGAAAAAGTTCATATTGATAAAACCAGGCTTCAGTTTAAAAAAAAAAAAAAGACATATAATTCCACCAGATACCCCTATAAATCAGTTCTTTATAGAACACACATTCCCTTCTTTCCAGAACAAAACAATGATATTGTAACTTGTATACAAAATACACTGTGACAGAATCAAGATCTCAAATCTCCTTTGCCATCTTCTTGCCAATATTAATTGGTAATTCTCTTGAGTCTCTGATACTCTTATTTTACTGTTGCTTACAGGGGTTATCCTCCCACTTTGTTAGAAGGGAATGTACAGCAGTGGGTTATGTTCCCTTATGCCAGACTGCAATAGGGGCCAGAAAGAAGAAAAAATGCCAAGCTATACAAGGGATTTGGCTTATAGAATTCTTTTTTTCTTCATGTTAGTCTTTTTTTTTATATATATACTGGGTTGGTCATGGTTTTCGTTTGTGATGTCTTCCACAGTTTGTATTAGTAATCTTAATAGGTTATGCTATTTCAGTGGTTCAAGATTCCGTACGGATTTTCTATGAAAGACACAGTGAATTGTCCAGATGTCTAAATGTCATTTGTGTCTACATTCATCTGAAAGTCAGCATTGATTATAGTCTTTATGTCATAACCTGAGGTAGAGATATTCCTGAGGAGTGGGAAGAAATGTAGGAAACTGTGATTACTAAAAGTCATCATGATAGCCTTCCAAGGAGAGATTATTTTTTTAAGTTAAGTAACAACATGAATTATTAGAAATTTGAATAATCTATCATCTCCTTTTTTGATAGCTTACTAACAGCTATTGCTAAGTGTGGTCCTAGAGTTTTCAGATTTTATCTTTTTAATCACTACAAAGACAAAAAGATACTTTTCTCAAGTATTACAGAATTATTTAATACTTTATGCTATTAAATGAAGTCCATAAAAGTATATTCTGCATTAAATTTTTCTTTATCAAATATGTTGAATAGTCCTTGTAGAACTGTAACTAGGAGTTAACACTAAAATCCTAGCCAAGACCCTGTGCTAATCTAGCATGGATGTGCAGTTAAGCTGTCCACCTTGTGTCCCAGTAATTTTTTATACACACCCCAGTGCAAGTAGTGTCTCTATGGGTTAAAACTACTGTAAGCACCTGTGTCTAAAAACTGTGACCGGTTTTATACATCTATAATTTAAGGCCAAAGTTGATTTCATCACTAGGGCTTCATCTTTCAGAGGTGGCTGCACTAAAAAAGGTAGAAAGTATGGAACCAGCCAGTTTTTTAACCTGCTGTTCTACTCAGAATAAACAAGAGTTGCTCGGGACCTCGTTCCTTATCTACCGTTTAAGGTTCTTTTAAGAGAGGAGATTAGTGGTTGTACTTCTGTCAGTGTCCTCTTGCAAGTAGCTCTGCGACACTGAAGAGTGTAGGAGTGACAATATGCACAGGTCCAGAGACACCCTGCAAGCATCCTCCCATTGCAGGACCCTTCGCAGTGACTTGAGGCCTCTAGGTCTCTGCAGAAAGCTGCTTGGGTTTCCCGCTTCTGCACAGCTTTTTACACTCCAGAAGCTGCTCTTGGGGTTTGCTTTTTGGAAGCTGTGTTGGCACTAATTCTTTTCGGGGATGACTCATAAAACAAATGTTGTTTTTCACATAGTTCCTGAAAGAGAAAGAAGCACTAATGAAAATGTCATTCTTAGTTTATACTGCTTGAAAAAAATGGGCAGCCTATTATTTTAAAATCTCCCTGGAGTTTTAATGTAGCTATGCAAAAACGCTTTTATTGTGAACCCTTAATGTAACATGAAATTCAGTGTATGCTACAGAGCTTGAGGATGTTCATGCAAAGTGAAAGGTGGGAGGTTTTCTGAGGAAACAAGCCATAGCACTCCTCTGCAGGGTGAGATTCCAAGGGTGGTATTGCACACCGCGAACTAGGAAAGATTGCGTCTGAGATCTTACTTCATTTGCTTCCACTTCTCGGATTCTACCAATATGCCTTTATTTGTAATTTGTATATCCTGCCTTCATTGTCGCCTCAATTCAGCTTTAGTAGATTCTGTAGTATTCTTCCCATCCACATCAAAATATTTTGCCTTTATTACAAGGGGGACTGTCTGAACCTTTTCAGAGTTTTTCTATGATGAACCAATGAAATGGGATTATGCCATGGCGAGAGGCATGAATGGAGTGGGTAAACGCTGCTCCTTTCAGAACTTACATTTGCAGAGGGGACAGCACATAAGCACAGAATTAACTAATGCTAGTGAGACGTCATCAGGGAAAGAAAAAGGATGTCTTAGTTGTGGGGCGGGATTATATCACACAGGTGGCATCTCTAAAGAGGTGACATTCAGAAGCTGCGATGAAGTTCAAGAGGAAACTTGATTCATTTCGAAGATAATTGCCAAGTGGGAGCAGGAGCTGGTTTGGTACCTAAAAGAATTGGAAGTCTAGGAATGTACAGTTAGGTGGGCAGTACTGCAGCTCTGGATGCTGCATGTGTGGGGGGGGCGGGGGTTACAAATCCCATAGACGAGATGTTGATGGCCCTGTCAGCGCACATGAGCAAGCACAGACCTTCACCCCAAAGCAAAGTAGGCGGTGGATCTGGACCTGGATAGGTTAATAGAGCTCATGGCAGAATATGAAGTGGTCTCGTTCTGTGTTTTCTCAGTGAACAAAGTCACTGACAGAATATAGGAGGCAGTGTCCAAGGCTTGAGAGCACATAGATGTGACAGTCATCTTGCAGTCGCGAGATCCCCTCTCCAGGGACATGTGGTAGGTGGCAGGACATTTCTAAAGACCTACTGATACAGGGAGAAAAACTGATCTCGGGTGGGTGACCTCCAAATGATATAGTGGAAAACCAAAGGATGAATTTTAGGAACAAATGGAGGTTATGAGCAGAATATATTTATTTATTTATTTATTTATTTATTTATTTTTGCAGAACCGGGGATTGAACTCAGACACTTGAGCTTGCCAGGCAAGCACTTATTCTACTGAGCCATCTCCCCGGCCCCTAGAGTATATTTATTGAGAGAAAGAAAGCTCCTGTCCGAGAGAGGGACAGGAGGAGGGCCTGAGTGGGTTGTCCTTTGGAAGCTGTCTCTTCCAGGGAGTTTTATAGTGTAAAAGCATGCCAGGCTAAGGTGGAGAAAATGGGAACTCACTTAGGTGTACGTGGGGTGGAACAAAACTGTAGTCAACCAATGAGATTACATGCACCATTGTTCAAGTAAAATTGATTAGTTCCAGGACCAAATGGGCAAGGGAGTCATGTAGCAAGGGGGCATGAATGTAAAACAGGACTTTATCTGGTAGCCATCAGATAATGATTCTTACTGGCTTTCTCAGGGTGAAGATCAATCCAGGATGCTAATCTTTGGAGAGGTTAGCATTTGTTTGATGTTTGGTCTTTAGGTCTGGCCCACAGCAGGAGCATCCATCCCTCCCACGTTGTAAGGTATCTTGCCTTCTGTGTTATCTCCTTCGAGGGCCTAGCCCTGTCTGACTGCCTATAATATTTCTATCTAATTTGGCTGCCTGCAACACCACTAGGGATTTATTTTCATAAATTTGAAACAAGACTGGTCAGTGTGGTTGAATGTTTTCCTCAGCCATATTTAGCTCCTCAGGCACAAGGAAAAAATAAGCTAATAGTTGGCTTAAGAGTTTGTCTGAATGATAGAGACTAGAGAGTAAAGAGAAAGACATGCAAAGCAGTGGAATTGGTGGCGGTCATGGAATCCAAGCAGGATGAGAAAGTCAGTGAGAATACGGGTGACAGACACGCGATGACTCTCCGGTCCTGAAGGGACTAAAGATTTAATGCAGTGTACAGCCTCTCCAGCTGTCGTTCTTACACAATGACACCACCTTGACAAGATCGTGGTCACCTCCAGATTTCTGTACTTGACCTCTCCTGTCTGATCATCTACCTCACACTGCATCCAGCAAGTTTCATATTTGCCAAAGAATTGTTCTGGGTCCTGGCAAACAGCAGGAGACAAAATATACAAAATTCCCTGCCCTCAAGACTTTATTTTTTATAAATTCTTTTTTAAAAAATTTTATTTATTTATTTATTTATTTATTTGTGTGTGTGACCAGCTTAGCCCACCAGGGGGCGGGGCTAGCTGGCATGTGGTGCTGGGGGATTGAACCGCGGTCCCTGTGCTTTGCTAAGCTTGTTCTAAGTAGGTGCTTTAGACCACTGAGCCATCTCACCAGCCTCTCAAGACTTTAAATATAAGGAGAAGAGATAATAAATCAAGTGAAACGATAGTGAAGCAAGTGTTTTGGAAACAATGTTCCTCAATAGAATGCTGGGAAGAGACATTAGCAGGATGGTCTACAGGGAGGAATGAGAACTGACCCTTGGATTTAGGAACGTGAAGGACATGGGGATGTTAAGAGACATCTCAGGGAAGTGGTTGCCAAAAGTCTCACTGGAACAGGCTCTTAAGGAAATGTACAGTGGGGTCCTGGGGAGATGGCTCAATAGAATAAGTACTTGCCTGGCAAGCACAAGGGTCTGAGTTCAAATCCCTGGTTCTGCAAAAAAAAAAAAAAAAAGAGAGAGAGAGAGAAAATGTACAGAGCAGAATTGATGACCAAATATCAATAACCATTTTGAAGAAACAGGAAAAGAAAAATGGCACCAGAAAGACTGAAAAAATGGGCACGAATCACACTAGGGAGGTAAAAATATGGATGATGCACAGGAGTGAGCAGAGGGCAGTCTTGGCAGATGTGCTGGCGAGGGGACGGCATGAAGCAACTGGCCTCTCAGGAGGACAGAGTTGACCTGTATAGCTGTGGGAATGAGGATCGCTAGTGTAGGTGGATACACACCGAGGTACAGAGTGGCATAGAAAGTGGCCGAATTCCCTCCTGATTATGTTCCCTGTCCAGGGAAGTCAGAAGAAAAGCCAGCCGTGGAAAGTGAAGATGAAGAGGTTTCCAGCGAGAGAGAAGGTGGTTCTCAAGCAGCTGTTGGGACAGAGGCAGACTGAATGGACTAGGACTAGACCAGCGCCTTTTGCACGCATCTCCAGCCTCCTTGATAGGTTGCTGCGGTGCTTGCTTGAGTATGCCTTAAAATGTAAATCATGTCATTCTCCTCCCAGCTGGAAATCCTTTAGTAGCTTTCCTTTGCAATCAGAATGAAGGTCAAACTCCCCGCTCAGCCAAGAAGCCTTACATGCTGATTTCTACTTTCTAACTTATCTCAAAGATGCTGACCTACAGGACTTCAGTTCCTGGATCAAGCCCAGCGTGTTCTGAGCCAGCCTTTGCGCTGCCAGTTCTCTCTGCCCAAATTCTCTTTCCCCTTATCTTCCTAGCTTGACTCTTTGCTACCACCCAGATTTTAGCTCCAAGATGACTTCTCAGAATAACCTAAGGATTACCCAATCAAAAGTAGCCCCCTAGTCACTTAGTGAAAATCAGCATGTTTTGATTCTCCTGGCAGATGTTGTAGCTGGTAATGTAGGACCTCCATCAGTGCCTGGCACTTCTTAGTAGCCCGTGCATCACTGTCCAGCACTTACTGCTTAGTAACATGTAAAATAAATGAATTGGCATGAAGGAACAGCTATATCAAATTAATTGCTAAACATGAAAAGCACCTTTACTTCAGAACTAAAATATTTATAAAATTTTCTCATTTTTTTATGTTTCTTCTTAAATTAGAGGAAAGGTAAATAAAATCACAATTGAAAAAGCAAGCAGAGGGGCCGGGGAGATGGCTCAGTAGAATAAGCGCTTCCCTGGCAAGAGCAAGGGTCTGAGTTCAATCCGTAGTTCCGCAAAAAAAAAAAAAAAGAAGAAGAAGAAAGAAGAAAAGAAAAAGTAAGCAGAGCTAACATCTCATTCTGAGTCTGTAGCTGGCAGAGCAAATGTTCAAAGTAAAATCCTACAAAATTAGATTAACTACAGGAATCATTTTTGACCTCTCAGCTGAGTCACTGTTTATTTTATAAGGAACCCAACATCCTTAGAAGACCATGTGTTTTTTCAGCTTTGCAGCAATAGGGGTAGAAGAACCGAATTCCAAATATTATGCAATGTGTAGTATCAAATTCAAAGTTAATCCTGGGGACAACCCACTCGAGCAGCCCTCCTGTCCCTCTCTCAGACAGCTTTCTTTCCCTCAATAAATACATTTGCTCATAAAAAAAAAAATTCAAAGTTAATTTGACATTATAATTTCCTTTCTTATCCCTTAGATAAAGGACCTTACCATTAGGACTTGTTTTTCTTTTTTTTCTTTTCAAAGTTTTATTGATAAACATATAGCAATGAGACAGTTTCAAATCAAATCGAAAGTACAGTTTCAACAAATAATACACTGCA